CACACACACACACACACACACACACACACACACACACACACACACACAGACACTGCAGAATGCAAGACTGGAGCTGCCATCCCAAAACACGGGGGGGGGGGGGAAAGTCCATTGTGTCCGCTGGCATTACAAACTGAAATTAAGTGGAAAACAAATCCGGTCTGAACTATTAGTTATAGCAAACCCTCCATCCAGACAAAACTAGATTACACTCTCACAGTCAAAAACTCACTCAACTAAAATCCTTCCACTGGGCTCTTTTAATTTGGTGATGAAATGAGTGAAAACTCCCCACGCTCGCCCCACCTTCCTACATTCCTCCCGTCCTGACTCAACGCATTGCCCTTTTGCCGTTTCACTTTTAATTTGCCGTGGCTAATTGATTCCTGGGGATAGATGTGTGTTTCTCCCTTCAGCGCTTCTGCCTGGTGGTTGTTTCTTTCTGGATAACGACATGTCTGCGTCTCAGACGTTTTGGCAGGGAGAACACAGGAAGACATTAAAGGGTACATGGCTTGGATCATAAAGCTTTAAACTGTTATATTTCATATTGTTTGGCACTTAGATCCCAGTCATATTTAAATAACCTCAAGTGATCCTGTTGAATTGGACATGTATTGCTTTGTAAGACATGAGATCCTTAAAGAAAGACGTAACTTGCTACATGTCATCAACTGACTTACTGCTCCCTTTTCAGAATCGCTGTCTTCTTCTGCTTATTCTAATTTCTACTCTCCTTTATCTCCATCCCTCCCTCCTGGCTGAAAGGCATTTTATTTGTAAATCAATAAGCGACCAGGGACCAGACCTCCATGATTAGTCGTCTTCATGGAAACAGTAGATGATGCTCAAAGCAATGTTATTTTCAAAGCAAAGGTATTTCATGCAGTATCAACCTTTAATCTTATTGGGACAGATACATTCCCTCGCACACACGCACGCACACACACGCACGCACGCACACACACACACACGCGCGCACACCCAAGCCTATTGAACCATTTAAGTGGAAGATAAAAATGATAAACGGGCTAGAAATCCAATCAATTTCCTTCTGCCATATTGAATTTTGCATTCTACTCAAACAACCCCAGTAAATCAGATGCTTTAGGTAATAATACTGTAGCGTGTTTATCTGTATACTGTATGAAACATTAAATCAAGTAAGTCCAACAGTCTATCCACGCTAACGACTGAGCTAAATGTCAACATCAGCATGCTAACGTGCTCACAATGAGATTGGTAACATGCTAATGTTCCCTATCTTAATAAGGCTTGTTAGCATGCTAACATTTGTTAATTAACATTAAATGCAAAGCCCGCCTGAGGCTGATTAACATGGTCATGGGTTTTGCTGGTAGCTGGCCCTAAAACAAAGTATTGTTGGCGCTAAATGAAAAGTTAAGGGATCATCAAATTCATTATTCATTCTGAGGGGAACATGAATGTGTATACAAAATGTCACAGCAATGTGATAGCACTGTGACCAATCCAGTGGACCGACCAGCTAGTCGCCCTACCGACACTGCCATCCTCAGAACTAGGCTAAACGCTGTCCACCGTGAGGTCTGTCTATTTCATGATACGAATGAGCTGACCTCATACAGAAAAATGAAGACGATCTCTTGTCTTTGTCTCTGCCAGGTGTGTCTCACTGAGTGCGAAGCCGACATCTCCCCGGCCTTCTCCTGGGACTTCTGTCATAAAGTGATGTCATCTCCAATTTCGTCCCTTACTGGTACCATGCGGAAAAGATCTCAGGAGGAGGTGGAGGCCTTGTTTCCTGAGGACGAGCCGGTGGAGGGAGGTCTGTTGCTGCCCTTTGCACTGCAGGGGTACGATCACATGACCCAGGCCCTCAGGGTGGACGAGAGGGATCTGGGCGGCAGGGGCGGCCAGCCGAACACTGCCTACAATGCCCAGAACGCCCTGTCTCCTGAGGATGAGTATGAGGAGGAGGCGGGGCAGGAAGACGGGGCGGCTGACACGGCAGCAAGAGGACAGGGCGATGCAGGGCTGAGCGTTTTCAAGAGGTTCGGCGGCTTCGTAAAAGGGAGGCACGGCTACAGGAAGCTGATGTCTCCGGGGAGATCGTACCAGAAGAGGTACGGCGGCTTCATCGGCATTCGGAAGTCCGCCCGCAAGTGGAACAACCAAAAACGTTTCAGCGAGTTGCTGAAGCAGTATCTGGGGATGAGCACCAAGGCCACTGAGTTCAACAGCATGTCAGAGGACCTCACCCAACAGAATGAAGTTTAACACACCTTTACGGCACTGACATGAAACAATTTGCTGATGTATTTCACCATCATGTCAAACTTTAACTGGCGTCACCAAAGTTGACCTATTCAAGTACATTACCAAAAAGTGAAAACTAAGCCCGTAATCTAAGACTCCCATTGCAAGCCTCTTTGTCTCGAGACATAAGAATTGCCGCTTCTGTTTTCCATCCCTTTTAATTATGATTCAAACAAATGATCAGACCTTGTTTCATACATTCTCAAGTGGCTGAACGCTCCAGTAGTACAAACAGCTCCTTCTGAGCAGTGACACTCCTGTCCAGCTCTTGGCCCCCTGATTCATTCGGGCCTCCCATTTAGTGCCCCTTGTGGGATGTACCATGGTTGATCTGAGTACCTGCCCAAGCCTTGATCCTCAGAAACTTTGAAGGTAGCTCTCACTTTGGGAGTTCTTGGTAGTCCTGCAGTGATATGCAGTAAAATATAGGCTTTAATTTACTGTTTAATGTGAGCTGCTAGGTTAACGTTGGCATAATTATTGCTTTTCCGATTCCCATTACATAGTTTACTTTCCCAATGAATTACTGTGCTGGCTCATGTGTTAAAAGTGCTTAATCTTCTTACAGCAAGGTCTCTAGCTTTGGGGGGGGGGGTCATCACTGTTGACAGCGTGTCATAGGTAGGACCGCTCCCTTTATCATACTACCATCTTGTGGCAAAATGCATAACACAGTCTTTTAAAGGACACCAGTGTTTTTTCCACGCTTTGCCATAACATTTGGGGTCATGTTAGTAGTAATGTGAAGTATATTGTATGTAATTTGTGGTAAATAAATTAAAACATGCAAAAACGCTGCTAAAAGTCATTGATTGATTGTGCCAAAACACAGCTGAGACAGGGCTACTGAGGCAGGTTTAAAAAAGATTTCATCTTAAATGTGGTGCGATGGTGAAGTGAAAGACAACACAGCACTCAATATTCACACATATATGCTATGTATCTGTCTGCCAAACTGATGTGATGTACAAGTGAGCATCATCTCAGACTTGCTCTTGTGTCCAGATGCCAGATGTCGATATGTACAAACGATATTTGGTCTTTTTTTCCCCCTTCAAACTGTAATGGTGTAAAATGTTGCCCACAATGAGAACTTGTAAATAGCTGAATTTAAAAATTGTCAATAAAAATAGTTTACTATTTCCGTCGTGGCTTGTTATGCAGCAACTGATTCTGTGTCTTGAGGTGTTTTGTTCTTAGCATTTGACATTTACAGTGTGACAAGTAATGGGGGGTGAGTTATCTTAATCTCACTTCTTTTATGTG